GCGGTGGCGGTGGGGGCGCGGGGAGGCCGCACCGAGTGATGAGTCAGCGCTGCGCCACTTCGGGGGCGGGGCGGGGCGGGGGGTCGGAGGCCGGTGCCTGCGCACACGGTGATGCACGGTCCGCACTCTCATGGTTGCCTGTGTGGGCGGCCCTCTGCGTGGGGGGTCCTGGTGTGCGGCTTCCCCAAGGCTTTGGGGCCCAGGCTGGGAGTCAGGGAGGGCTCCCGGGGCAGTGGAAAGGTCAACCCTTTCACCGTCATCCAGGGATGGGCCGTGGTTGCTGCGGGTGAGGAGGGTTTTCTATGGGCACCCTCCCCTGCGCAGGCACAGGTGCAAGGAGGAGCAGGCTCCAGGCACCATCCCCTCCGAGGAAAACACTCAGATTAGCACCAAGAGCCGCAGGGGGAGACTTACCAGCGGCCCAGGGCCACGGCCTGGGCATTTTCATGCAGTCTCTGCTTTTTCTACGGCTGGGTTATGGACAGGTGGACATGCGGACAAGAGCAACACCATTAACACTCACACTCCCACCTCCTAGAGAAGTCTGGTCCCTGTTTTCAGGTCGCCTCATTCAGGGTCAACCAGGGGCTCCACAGGGCAAGCTTGCCCCTTTCCAAGGAGATTCTACACAGAAGGCCCACTCTCCCCAGCACATGGGTGCACCCACTAATCCAGTCACTTAGGGAAACAGTGACCCACACCAATGACTTGAATATCTGTAAGGAGAGCTGTTGGCTCAGTCAAAAGTGGGATGCTGACCACCGGGGAGTGATCCAGATGGGAGGGGAACTAGCAGCTCTGGAGAGCACCAGACAGACCTGCCATAGACCACCCCCTTTGCCCCGAAATGAATTCCAAACTGCTTGCAACTGCTGTGACAGACGTGTTTCTGATTCAAATCGATGCAAGTTTTGTGATGAATGAAGAACGTCCAAGTTTTCTGCAGTTTGTCCTTAACCCACTGCACTTACGTCAGAAGTCTATTTCCAAGTAAGGTAATCAGTACAACAGAAAAAAGAGTCTTTCGGAGACACAGGACTTCTTAAATCCTCAAACAACATAGATGACAGCCCAAAGTCGGTTTTTACTGCTATCTTGGTAGCTTAGCATTAACCATGAATTTTGAAACCATTTTCCTGCTGCCTATAATTAGATAATCAAAAAACGCCCCCTTTCCCACTCATCTGCTGAACTCCATGCTCCTGCTTCTCGATTACCTGTATCCCAATGAGGTATCCCTGCCGCCGCGCGCACCTTCTCCTGCAGTCTATCAGCAGAGCACAGCAGGCAAGGCAGCATCAACAAGGCCCCCCTCACCCGGATCTTCTCCACCTGCTGTCGGAACTTCGCAACTACACCATAAAGAAAAACGTGCCCTGTTAAAACCTCCTGCTGGCCCACCTCCTGGAGCCCTGCGTCCATCACTGAGGTGCACCCGTCACACGTGGGCCTGCCTTGGACTGTGTTTTAATGCGTCCTGCCACCCCCCCATCCCCCCCAAAAATAGTCGTTTCCTTCCAGTTAACAGTGAAATGCTCTCTTGTTTTGCCATTTGCTAGCTGTGATGACCTGGGATAAAGAAATGACTTCATCTGCTTTTGAGCAGTTACATAACATGGACAGCAACAGCACTAACTTCACAGGGCTGCTCTGAGGACCAGTGGGTGTGCACTCAGTCACCATGCGAATAAAGGTCTGGTGGGGACAGCAACTGCTAATGGCTCTTGTCCTGCATGCTCAGAGGAACCTGGCACCATGGTGGTTCTCGGGGACTTCTTGAATGAGCACTAGTGGGTGCAGGTGATGTGGAAAACCCTTTCTGTTAGCTAGTGGGCTCTCTTGTTCCTTAAGATCGCCAAGGATACCATGCCAAGACCATAGTACTCTTCCCACTGACCTGCAAGGGTGCCTGTGCAGGGAAGAGACAGCTGAATGGCCAGGCCTGACTGTCCCACTGAAAATTCACCAGTAACTAACCCCCTCAGCAACCCCACCAGTAACTAACCCCAGAAGCTCATGGAGGAGGGGTGGGGCTCTGAACCACCACTGTCTGACCAGGAACCAAACTCGGGGCCTGGCACACCAGCCCTGGAATGGAATCAAGAGGGGAGGTGCTCTCTGGCCTTGTCTGGCCTCACGTGTCCCATGTGTGCCATCCAGAGCATGGGAGCTTTATTGCTGCCACTTCAGATTCTTCAAATGTGGGGCCCCAAGCAGCACCCAAACCCCATTTCCTGTCCTTAATTCTTAGGGCCTGGACTCCACCACCTCAACTTTGTCCCGAATTCTGTTCATATCAACACCCAGGAGCCCTGTACCTCATCCTACTGTATCCCATGTACCCCGGCCCCAGAGTGAAGGATGTGGGACCTCAGAAGCCTTGTTGGTGTAACGGGTTACATTTGGGGCTGCTAAACAAAGGGTCAGCAGTTCTAAACCACTAGCTGCTTTGCAGGAAAATGATGAGGCTTTCTATTCCCATAAAGAGTTGGTCTCAGAAATTGACAGGGGAAGTTCTACCCAGTCCTATAGAACTGCTGAATCAGAATTGGCTCATGACAGTGTTTTTTGTTGTTGTTGTTTTGCACCAGAGCAGATCCCCTACCACAATCTAGGAGCCCGCCCCCAAGGGAGGGAGAGGGGAGCTGAGACTGCCAAGGAGCTTCTCTACAGGGACTGCTCAGAGCCTCCTCTGTAGCCAGGGAAGAAGGCCAGGCCCCACCACAGGCCTCTCGGAGAGGGGTGACCACTAGGAAGGCCTTCACCTGGCACGCACTGGCTCGGGAGACTACAGGACCCTTTGAAGAAAGACTCTGCACAAGCTTTTATCATCAGAAACGTACATTTTATTTGAATAAACGACTCGTTGCTGAGCAGATGACCCGCCTCAGTTTACTCTTTGAAGAGCAAAGAGATGGTGAATCCAGGGAAACACTGCTGCCTCCCTTCCTCTCTGTCCTTCCGAAGGCAGACACGAACAAAGGACAGTCACAGGAGGCACAAAAGGAAGCTCTCCACAGGTCAGGGGTGCCAGCTGGAGGTCGGCACAGAGCGCCCTGCAGAGTCAGTGGCCAGGGCCACATGAGATGCAGGTGCAGAAAACACCAGCCCTGCCCCAGGTGTGACTCAGAGGGCGGAGCTGCAGCGGCCGTGCCTCAGGAAGGACGCAGCCATGAGGGAGGCTCCAGCCACCAGGATCCGCACGCACGTATGCATCAACAGAGCATTTGCATCCCACTAGTCTCACGCGCCCAGGCACAGCAAGCGTCCCACAGACCTACACTGGGCTCCCGTGCCCTCACCCTACACCACATGCCTCCTTGCTGGCTGAGGACAACAGGAAGACACAACCTGAGAAGGGAGAAAGGGGCCCTGTAGTCAGCCAGGTAGCCCTGAATCCCGAGAGTCACAGCTGTCCTCTAGTTCAAGGGTGACTGGGTTTCACAGCTTACATGGTACCTGGGAAATGGCTGACTGGAGGTGAAAATATACGAACAAAGAACTTCCAACAATGTGCACAAGTCATCTCCCTAATTGGCTCTTCTGGGAGACAAAGAGACCTGCCAGTCTGAGTGGAGGCTGCAGAGACCACAGCCCTCACTTTACAAAGGCCCACAGGTCCAGGTTGGGACAGGTAGGGCACCACGTGAACCACTGGCTCCTTTTGGCCTGACTGTTCCATAAACTGCCACCCTCCCCCTCTCTGCCAGCCCCTCCCAGGACAGGAGCTGAGAGCAGAAAGCAAGGAGGCTCCAGGCCTCAGGTTCCTGGGCCTTCAAAGGAGCATTTCCTGATGGGCATCAGGCATGGGGTGCAGGCAACTGCTGGGTGTACCCCAGGTGACATGCAATCTGGCCCCAATGCCCTTGCAAGGACCATGTCAAACGCTGACCGGAATGCTTCCCAGAGGAAGGTGCAGCAGGACCGGGCAGGCAAGTGACCCTCGTCAGGGTGACCACCACTATAGAACACTGGCACAAAAGAAGGTACCAAGAAAACAAACTCACTTGGAGGATCAGCTCCATATGAAAATGGGGGTCTATCTATTGGACAAGAGGAAATCCTGGCTCGGAGGACCACATACACCCCCCTGTGGTTCTACTGGGGGCTCCAGCCTCAGCCAGCCTGGGTCAGCCTCACTTCCAAGAATGAAGATGAGCCCAAGGATCTGCAGCACCACAACAGGGCACCCGGGGAGGAAATCCCTACCTTGGGCTACCTCCTCATGGCCAAGGTGAGGCAGGTGCACCTCCTCACAAAAGAGAAGAAGCAGGCAGGAGACCTGCAAGACACACCACCTGTCACTAGGTATCCCTTGGGACCCCAGCTGCGGCCCCTCCTGAAGAGCAGACATTCGTTTGGAGGCAAAGTGGGTGGGCAGTGCATGTGAAGTTCTGAGGAAAATAGAGGGTAAACATTCCAATGCCAATTTATTTTCATAAAGGGTTTGTGTTATTCTATAGTTTGCTTTTTTCCCCCTCCTCCTCTGTGTGTCTAATTGTACAGCCTCTGAGATTTACATAAGTTGTAATGATCTAATCTAATTAATAGCCATTCAGAAAAAAACCTCCCCTCCCGCCCAACAACCATCCAGGGAGAGAATTAAAGGTCCTGAAAAAGAAGCCCCGTCCACATGGCTTCTTACCCTGGGAGGAAAAGCAAAAGATGAGCAGAAAACAGAAATCAACTAAGAGGGGTGTTGCCAGTGTCTCTCGGGAGTGGCCCTGGCTGGCGCCAGGGTTAACGTCAGCCTGCAGCATGCAGTTGTGGCAGCTCAGAGGCCGCTCTCTCAGCTGGGCCTTCTTCACACGCCGGCATCCATGCCCCCTAGGTGTCATGGAAATCCTTCAGCAGGGTTCTCCTCCGCTGCTCCGCTATGTGCATCTGGTTCTCCAAGTCCTACACCAGGAGAGCAAGACGGGTGTTTGATGGGCCAGCAGGGAGCAAAAACCATGCCCCCCCCCCCCTCCATCCCAAGGGCTCTGGGTGAATCCCAAGCCCTGTTCAGCAGCAGTAGCTTCTAGTCCACACACAGCAGTCCTCCCTCACCTGCAATCCAGGGTTCGAGAGCATGCACTCACCCCTCTATCGTAGCTGTCTGCACGCTCTACTTTCCAGGACAAGTTTTCGATCTCAGCTTCCAGCTGAGCCTGCTGGTATTCAAACTGTACGGGCAAGGCAAAGGAGAAAGGGGGTAGGCGAGGCAGAAGGGGCAAAGGAGAAAGGGGGTAGGCGAGGCAGAGCCTGCAGATGCAGGACTGTACCCTTGCAAGAGCTACAGACAATTTTCCATGTTGGTCCCCATGTTCAGGGAAACAGGAAGCTGACAACAGTGCGTATGCACAAAAAGAAGCTGGTCTGAGATGGACTGAGGTGATGTCTGTACAAAACTTCTTACTGTGATCGAATGATTAAATCGTGAAGTACATGCCAATAAAACTATTAAAAACAAAGAATGACCACTGGTAGACTCATCGAACATTTTTCATGTTCAGTAAATCTGCAAATCAAGAGCCTTAAAAATACTTTAATAATTTGACTTAGCAATTATACTTCTAATAATCTCACCTAAGGAGGTAAAGTTTTATGTATAAAGATGTTCTTCAGTGCTTATTTATAACCATGAAAAATGGGAATAGCAAAATAACAACCATTATAAAACTCATGCAATCATTAAAAATTTTTATTTACCAGCCTAGTTAAAAATTGACAACTGTACATGAAATATTATATATTACAAACTACACATAAATAGTATTAATTTTTAAAGGCTGGAAAGTGCTAATAGTCATTATTGGATGACACAAATACTTTTTTTATTCTTTTGGGGGGACACAAATACTTTTTTTTTTTTTTTTAACCTTATGCTTGCACTTTACAAAACCACAAAGGAGAAGTCCACAAATACTTTTTTATATGGGCTTTATCCTTGGAGGAAAAGAACCCCCACACATAATACAGAATTGCTCTCGACACACGGAAGCCAGGACAGATGAACCCCTCATGGGAGCAGCAGTACCACGAGGGCAGGAGGGGAGGTTGGGAAGAAAACGACTACAATGATCCGTGTATAAACCCCCCCTCCCCAGAGGGACAAGCAACAGCAACATGGGCAGAAAATAAAAATAACATAACTTATCAGGGGTCCGTGAGGGTGGAGGAGGCAGGGCAAAAAGGAGCCAATACCAAGGGCTCAAACAGTACTTTGGAAATGATGGCAACATATGTACAAATGTGCTTTATATAATTGATGTATGGATTGTTATAAGAACTGTAAGAGCCCCCAATAAAATGATTATATATATATATACACACAGAATTGAATAAATGGTAAAGAAGTCAATTCTAACTTAGGGACACTCGTGCCTGAAAGCCCGCCCCAAAGCATGGACACGTGCCTCCCAAGTGACCACAGATCTTGGCAGGCACCCTGAAATCTGGTCATTCAAAGGCTGACGCCCATGTACCTTTACCAGAATACAAAATGCCAGTCCCAGAGATGTAGCTGGAGGGTGACCAGAGTAGGACTGGTCAGCTTTGTTTTGACCTTGCCCTCCCAGTGACGGGGTCTGGTCCTTGCTCTGCTATCAGAGCCCCGTGGGAGCTGTGGAGGTAGAACGGAGGGCTTGCGTTGCCTTACCAGTTTCTTCCTGGGTCCAGACTCCATGTAGTACGCATATGGATAGGTGTACTGCAAGGTGTATCGACACTGTAGGTGGAGAGAACAGAGGGGACAGTGAAATTCAAACCTACCCACCCACACCTCAGGGAACGTTGACTGTTCCTACAACACCATGCAAATTAGCTTAGATTTACAGGCATGGGCCTGCACGAAAGCGCAGAGGGTGAACTCCAGGAGGACACTGGAATTGACGAAGGAAAGGACCACGGAGCATCAACGGCTCCCTTTCAAACTGTGACTCATAGCCAGCAACACCCTCAGTGCTGCAGCTCTCTCAAATGGGCCCCAGAGGCCGCCCATCTAGCTCAGTCTGTGCCCCCAAATATGCACACTCTTCGTGGGAAGTCAAGTCTGTGGGCCTGGACCACAAAAATGCTGCCCTACCGGCTGGAGCTGGGCCGCATAACATGCTCAGCACCCTGCCCATCAAGGGCCTCCTAGCCAACGAGGACAGGAGCTGGTGTGCAGTGGGGTCAGAAGAATGGAGTGGAACACACCTTGGCCAAAAGCCTGGCTGCGTTCTGTAGGTACTGCCAGTCGATCCACGTCCCCAGGTTGTTCATGACCCTCTCCTGGATCTTCTCATGGATCCGCTGGTATGTCTGTGCCTCCAGCTGCAGGCTTTTGTTGTGGTTTTCCCACTACAGGGCACAGGCAGGAGACAAAGCTATAGGCGGCGTCCTGAGCAGATATGGAGCGCCACACAGGAAGTCAGCAGATAGCTGGACTGTCAGCCTCTATGTTAAGGACTGTGTGTTACGGGACAGCAGGGAGGCTTCTTCAGAGCATATTCTCACCTTGGCCAGAGCTGCAGTCTGCTTGCAGCGCACTCCTCCCCCTCCCTTCGGGAGTGGTGGGGCTCCTGAGGACTCAGCACAGCTAGCTACCCGTCACTTTACCATGCTAAGGAACCACATGTGCCATGCACTGGAACTGCCCTCTCCATCTAGTCAGATGGTACTGGACAGAAAAGACTGTCTGGCAGTCCTACACGTTGTCCTTCCATCCACCTTCCAACCAAGGCCAGCACTACGTCCTGTCCCCATTGACGATGACTGCCCCTGTAGAGCCTAAAACAAAGGCACACCTACAGAGTCAGCACCCAGAGTCACTGCCTGAGTGCCATCCATGGACTTCTGAGTACAGGAGCTTGCCTTGGCTACCAGCTGCGGGAGTCCGACCCCAGCAGGCCACCCTTAGGAAGCTCTGGTCAAGCCAACTAGAGTAGTCTACCCCCAATGGGCAGGTACGGGAGAGGACACCTACCCTCTCAAAGTAGAACAAGTATTTCTTAAGGGCCTCCCTGGCCTGGGCCTGCTGGCTCTGGTTGACAATGTCAGGGTTCTCCTTGTACCGACTGCACTCGTAGTACTCACTGCCGTGGGTCTTCCAGTCTCCTAGACACATCCAGCAGAAGTCTGCACACACAGAGAGAGTCTCTTACACTCACAAGGCAAGCCCACATTCCTCCAGCCAGAGCTTCCCAAGGGTGGGGTGTGGGGGGGAGACATGCATTTCATCCTTGCCACATCCCACTGTCCCTGTGGCCTGACCTTGCTGATACAAACGATCTATGGATGTTGCGGGTTGTAGGGCATGTGCACTTCATGCCTTTCTAATCCCCACACAGGCAGGTGCTGGCTGCACGAAGACTGCTGGCCTCTCTGTGCCAGTGCTGTAAGACGCAGACACCTGTCCACCTGGGGCCCACAAGGACGGCCGGAGCACACAGCACCTGTACAGACACCCTTCCTACACACCTCTCCCTCACAACACTGGAGCAAGAAAACTGTTTCGGACATGAAACTACAGTCAAGGCCACTTCCTTTCTTTTAAAAAAATACATTTCTATAAACTCTATAGCTGCCCCTAAGTAGTATTACCCCTCAAAATGTATGCTTCCACACTGAGGTAGCAATGGGGGAGAGGATAAAAATCCCCTTTCAGCTGTGAGCTATCTAAACAATAACTGAAGCCCAGTGGGCAGGGGCTAGCCACCCTTGCACTGGATGTCCAGTTTCATCCAGAGGCCCCCAAACTGTGGGAGGTCCTGTTTCCTAGGTTTGCTCTCATAACTCAGCTGATTTACCAAAAGGTCTCTCAAAAGTTTTAGGAAACCTCAAGCCAGATCCAGAAATATAAAGACTGTTCCAACTTCTCTCTTCCTGGGAGCGTCATATAAGTGGCAAAACTGCCCTCTCCTGAATCAGCTAGTGTGCTGGTTACTCTTTTCAATGAATAATACACGACTTGAGGCTGCCTGTATAAGTGGCATAACTCTATAGCACAGCAAGGGGCAGGACGGGTACACTATACATGGGGAGGGGCTTCTTTGTATAGGAATATGATGGGTATGGGGGGATGTTCATTTTGTGTACTATGGACTCTTCCAAGTACAAGCCACTTCCCCTTCAAACGCCTACGCATAGACAGAGTGGACTCCATCAAGGGAAGGTGCCACAATGGTGGGTCTGTCTGCATTCTCTTCTTCAGACCATGCCTGGCAACACCTTACTACGTCGACCCTTGGCAACCCAGGAAGGGCCCACACAGAGGAGGGATTCCCAAGGCCGTCCCGGCCAGCTGAGTGGCTGTGCAGAGACCACTGAGACACATCTTCCACTGGAAACAATGCTGGTTCTTCACTTGGTCTGGCAAACCATACAATCTGTTCCTGACAGCTGGACGGGCAAATCAAAACTCTTCCTGGAAGTGCTATAAACCCTCACACGGGAACCACTCTGACCACCTCTGGTAAGATCGTGTACAAACTGCTTTAAAAATACCTGGACAGTAGCGTGACAAACCCATGATACTTACCTGCCTTGGTCAAAAATTAAAAAGAACACACCCCTCCTGATGACTGGAGAATTATGAAGGTCTAAGGTCATCCCAAACTTGACTTCTGAGTACAGGTGCCAGCAAGATGGCAGGGTGATTACAGCTAAGGATGAAAGGAGGACTCCCTGGGCCCGTGCATCTCACTTCAGAAGTCCTCACTAAACAAGCAATGGGGACCCACGCACAGAAACATGGACCGTGCCAGTGGGCCTTGCACACCACGCTGGGGACTCACCGTGTTTACACTTGGAGCATTGCTGTCAGAGGAAAACAGAAGAAAACATGTTAAGGGCACGCTGACCAGAGGCGTCACACCATCCACGCAAAGTGCACATGCACCTGTGCTTACCATGTGATTGCAGCCCCCGTTCTTCTCAATGCAGATGTTGCACTTGGGACACTGAGGAGACAGAAGGGCGCCGTTAGGCTCACACACGATCGGGCCGGCTCTAAGACAAATTACACAAACGCTCCTGGCACCTGTGCCCAGTAGCTCATCATGCGAGCAGTTCTGGGTGAGGAGCATCTCACTTAAATGTGGCAGGTCGCTGAGGCTGGAACAGCAATTCAAGGAAATGAGGTCAGCATGTTTGATTTTGAAACACTCCAAGCACCGGCTGAGCCCTGCTAAGTCTTCTACCTTCTGTTCCTGCCATGGCGTTGCTCAGATGAAGCACGGGCCGAGTCAGCAGAAAGCCTACCTGCTTGCAATGGCTGCCAAAGAAAACACAAGAGCAGCACACTACGTTTTGGTCCGCTTGCCTGGACTTCTTTCAGAAACCTGCCAAGCTCATGCTCTCTCACTGGAGGCACACCAGCACCCTCTGGCGGCAGCGAAGTAGAGACTAGACTGACGCTGTGCTTCTCCACTGCCATGAAGGCAACTATGTTTAATACCTACCCACCATCATGGTAGCCCACACACCAGTGCCCTGGATCAAGAAATCCATGTCACAGCACATGAAGGGCAGCAATGGGCCCACGCTTATGGAATTCACTTGTCTTGCCATGATGCCCACCGTTCTAAAGCAGCTGGCTTGATAGAACAATGGAATGGTCTTCTACAGACACAATTATGGTACCGGCAGGGCAGGGCAGGGCTGGGGCAATGTTCTCTAAGAGGCTGTATGTGCTTGAACTTAGCATCTGATAGACGGTGCTAGCTCTGTAGGATTCACGGGGACGGGTGCACCAAGGAGCAAAACTGGGAACGGCAACACGATTAACCCATTTTCAAAAGCTTGGGTTTCTGTCCCCATAACCCTGGGCTCTATGCATCCAAAGAGAGCAATATTCCTATCAGGTGACCCAATACGATTCCACTGAATTGAAAGTTAAGAATGCCACCTGGTCACTTTGGGATCTGCTTGGCTGTGGATCAGAAGGCAAAAAAAGATTAAAAAGTAGCTGCCATTCTCACTGACACGACTGCTTCTCATTGTCACGGGAAACAAGAGCGGAATTCAATAACGGGGAGCGAAGAAGGCCCTATCAAGAACACAGGAGATCCCTTGGGACATTTTAGTACCCCACGCCCTGTGATCAAAGTCAATGACCCAGACCCTCTAGGAGTGGAAGTTGAGTCACGCCACTGTGCAAAGAACTGGAAGCACCTGAGGTGCTGGCTGCAGGCAAAGGGAATACGGAATGGATGGTCTAAATACCAGTTACGACTACATGACCAGCTACAGAAAGGAGAGCTTTAATTGTTTTCAAATATTTTTCTTACTCTGTTAGGTTTATCTAATAGTTTTCATCCTGCCTTTATTCTATCACTTACTATGAAGCACAAGAATAGGCTAGTGTGTGTTTTGATTGCACGTGCTCGTTAGAGCTATCATGTTCGGTGCAAGTAGGGTTTTAGAAGGCCAAGTGGAAAAGAGGTAGACTGTGAAGACTAGTGTCAGCTTGGCTAGGTCATGGGCTCTGTGGTTTGGCATATATTGTGTAGTCATTTTCCAATTTGTGACTTGATCTGAGCAGTCCACCAGCTGAAAGGGGGCCTCCGTAAGGCCGTGTCTGCATCCACTACGTACGGACTTGCTCTGGGCAAGTCTGCCCTCTCTCACTCCTGCATGGGGCTCATCATCCTCTGACCACCTCTTGGGTGGGTGGTGAGGCAGTTACTTCCTTGGGAGGAGAGCCAGCAACCTGTCTGACCTGCAGATTGTCAGGTGTGCCAGCTCCGGGAATACCATGGATCAGCAATCTTCTACCTGACATGTCTACTTGGAGTTAATCAGCTCCTGTAAACCACAAGTCAGAAGAAATCTTCAACTTGACAACTGATTAATGGATTTGGAACTCGTCAACCTTCAAGGAAATAAGCCATTTCCTTGAAATAATCCTGTTATTTATGCATTAGAAATCTCTAATATTGATATGCATTTTTCCCATGCACATTTTGAAGCCCCCTCGTAATTGCTCCGTTGGTTTCTTCCAGAGAACTCAGCTGTAGACAATAGGGACGTCATGGTCACAGCTGTGCTAGTGACTGCCAGTGACTGGCACAGGGCGCCACCTTGGTTGTCGGGTTAGGTCAACACTCAAGCAACTGCAAGGCGTGCTTTTCATGGAAAACTTCAGAATGCGAATCGGGCAAGCCTGGGCTAGCATCACAGCTTTGCCATTTAGCAGCTGTGGCCACCGAACACCTCCTTCCCCAGGCTGCAAAAGCCTGGTAAGCAGTCAATGAAGACTAGTTTTCTTCTGACGAATCTTCCCTAGTTATCAAACATTTAAAGGTCCTTCAACATTCTATTAAAATACCAGCACCAAAATCGTCCCAAAATAAACCGATGCAAAATCTGCCCAGGGCAGGGCAAGGTCTCTGCAGCCGCCAGCAAGAGCCCTGGGGTCCTCTCTCGGTGCTACAGCCCCGGGTCCACGAGAGGGCAGGATGCAACCCTTACGTCTTTAGTGTGTGCACTAATGTAGTTGGCCGTTTCAGAGTCATCTGCACACTTCGTGAGCCATTTCCGGATTGTGGCGCAGTCTGTGGGGGCGTGATACATCTGACGACACCTGAAACTGAAAATCAGAAAAGAAAAACATTCAAATACTCATCAGGTCGCATGTTGTCTGTTTTCCTTTTGTTCAAGCCAAATGATCCTCAACTAGAGCTTTTCAAAAAGGCATTTCCAAAGGCCTTTGGGGCCATTACTTACCTAGAACGATACTGAAATATGATTTGAATTTCTCATCTGAACCCTTTAAGTCACATGCACAATACTCCTCAATAAAATGTTTGTTTTAAATATCTTGTGTGATGTCACCTCTCGCTGAAAGGATGTCAAATGCAGAGCTCAACCCCTCAAAGGGCATGGGGATACCGCAAGGGATCCCTCCACTTAAACCCAAGCCAGGCCTGGGATCCACTTCTCACCTCCCAGCCACATGAGCACGCGAAGATGCACACAAACACCAGAACTCTTGCACTGTGGGGATACGACACAGGATGACACCTGACGTTCAAAATCAGAAAAAGACATTCAAATGCGTGCTGGGCAGTCCTCGTGCTCTCCACTTCCTTCTTGCCTCAGACAATGCAGTTTGTTCTCAGAGAGAAGCCCACAGCCCCAGAGGAAGACATTCACAACACGGAGAACAAGGAGATCCGTGGCTCGTGACCTTTGCTGGGCCACAGCCTCCAGCAACATCTTCAAAGGCAGGAAGCAAGTACACGCAGGTCCGTACACCCACACCCTCACACCCATGTTCTATATGGTCTCTCTGAAGCCCTACCATGATTCCTCCAAGCAGGTGTTATTAGGGCAACACAAATGACGAATCTGCAATTTACTAAGTGGGTTCACTTGGGTTTTGATTTCCTCACCCCCAGACTAAGTATAACAACTTTGCAAATTAGACAGTCATGCATGCAAAACAGAGGGATCAAGACAGTGCCTGCTATCTGATAAACCTTCAGGAAACACTAGCTATTTTCATCACAATTAATAAATGGACAAGAAAGACACCAGTTAGATGAACCATTCAGTTTGTCCCTTTTGTAGAAAGAGTATCCCGACCCTCGAATACTGAGAACGGAAAGAGCAAATTACATTTCATTTCCATGAACAAGCATCCACTCCCCTCCCAGTCTCTCTTTGTGCACACCTATGGGATGGCGATTCTAGGTATCATCTCTAAGTATCATGTGCTACCACTGGCTCTTTATTCACTACACATCAGTGACGTTACAAAGTACCAACTCCCTGACAGGGAGTCACCCCCCCATTCCCTCCACACACACAGCTTAGCAACTTCTCTGTGTAAACCTAGAGCTCCCCCCGTCTGGGCAGTCCTTGTGGACACTCCCCTCCTGCACCCTCCACAGGTGGACCTGCTTTCCTCCGGGCTTCCTCTCCTTCCCCACACAGCTTTTGCCACCTCACTCGGCAGTTGATTTGCTTCCAAACCTATGTCCTAAAACAGTGGTTCTCAACCTTCCTAATGCCACGACCTTTTAATACAGTTCCTCATGTTGTGGTGACCTCCCAACCATAAGATTACGTTTGTTGTTACTTCATCACTGTAATTTTGCTAGTTACGAAACGGGTGATCCCTGTGAAAGGGTGGTTTGACCCCCAAAGGAGTCACAACCCACAGGTTGAGAACCGCTGTCCTAAGAGGTGGGCCATTCATTACTGGTTCACTTAATGTATCTGGCAAACGCTGAGTGATAGAAGACCTATCACTGAGGGTGGGGAGTGATTCTCTAGTGTGCACCAATCATTTTCTACCACCAAATCCAGGAACGGAACAACGGTGCTTTCTTAAATAAAAGGGTAACTTATTGGAGGGAAATGCCAGACACTCACTGACACTGAAATTCTTCATGTGACAACATAATAAACAAATGCAGTAATAGCTAACAGTTGTTTTTAAAACTTTCTACTCCAGCTTGATCCAGAAAGAATTATAGCAAACATGAAGCTTTGATCTCCTACAACTGCCTGCCCAGGTTCAGGTCACCAGATAACCATCTATCTACCCAGCTTCATGCTGCCACCAACAGCCCCCACCCCCCCCAAACTAGGGAACACACAGAGCTTGATAGAAAGAGAGAAGCAGGAAGAAAGAATTTATACCTGCTTTTCACATCTTTACTTGGGGAAAAAAAATGAATTCCACACCCACTTAACAGTTTTCACACAATGATCACAAATGCACACAATTTTGCATTCTTTAGCCCCAGAACGGAATCCCTGAGTGCACAGATGGTTAGGCACTTGGCCACTAGCAGGGGGGAGGGTGTGTGAACCCACCCAGAAGACCTCAGAAGGCAGGCCTGCAAGCTCCTTGTGAAAGGTGCCACTGTGCTCACGTGGAAGGCCCAGGCGCTGAAGTCCACTCAATGGCAACTAACAACACACAGGAGAAAACTCTGTGTGTTGCTATGCAGTTTTCCTTTTTAAAATTCTGATGGCTATAAAAGGTCTTTGAGGTAACTGATAAGTTAACTTATTGACATGTCTAGGTGGTTTCTAATTTGCTGATAAAGCAGAAAACGCTGAAGCAGGCCAGGCCTGAGGGACGTGAATGTTGTCTGCTCAGCATACAGCACGTCTGTGTTAACCACTCTCGTACTTCACCACTCAGTCACCGGTTGACTACAGTGTCCCCAGATCTGAACTTTGGACTACGTGGACCATTATGAACCATGGCTTTGAGAAAATTACCCAGGAAAGGTCAAAAGAGGTAAAGACATATCTTTAAAGGTTGTAGCTTTTCACATAGGAATTATATGAATCATGTTCAGCTAGAAACATAGTCACACAGACCTCACACAATTTCTTAGCCAGACTTAGTAACAGAAATCACAACACATTCTCCAAGAATTTGTGCTTTCATCCCTTGCCCCTAGACTGAGTATACAACAGGGTACCCCCACCCTAAACCAAGAAAAGGAAAAAGCTCCACTTGGCAGAGCTTTCATGGTATGCATTTTTCCTGCTAGGCGAGCATTGAGCAACTCACTCTGAGTTAGTGCATCCAGTGGAATCCCCTGGGAAGGTTCTCTCTAGTCACAGTGAATTTTTTCATAAAAGAAGTGCAGCAACGATGAAACATACAACTTTCCTCTAGTTCCTAAATGCTTCCTCGCCGCACCCCCCACTATCATGATTCCAATTCTACCTTACAAATCTGGATAGACCAGAGGATGTATACTGGTACAGATTGGAACTGGGAACATAGGGAATCCAGGGCGGATGATCCCTTCAGGACCAGTGGTGAGAGTGGCGATACCGGGAGGGTGGAGGGAGGTGGGGTGGAAAGGGGGGAACCGATTACAGGGATCTACATATAACCTCCTCCCAGGGGGACGGACAACAGACAAGTGGGTTAAGGGAGACGTCGGACAGTATAAGATATGACAAAATAATAATTTATAAATTATCAAGGATTCATGAGGGAGGGAGGGGGGAAAATAAGGAGCTGATGCCAGGGGCTTAGGTGGAGAGAAAATGTTTTGAGAATGATGAGAGTAACGAATGTACAAATGTGCTTTATACAACTGATGTATGTATGGATTGTGATGAGTTATATGAGCCCCCAATAAAATGATTAAAAAAAAAAAGCAGTTTCACTTGAACCTCATTTGTTGTGATGGTTGATTTAAGGGAACAGCACATGGCTGTGAAATTTTGTTTCTTGCCCAGGAAAACTGCCACAGAAACTGTTGTGATGTTGAACACAGCTTACAAGGGCAGTGCTATGGGGAAAACTCAAGTGTTTATGAGTGGTTTTCTCATTTCAAAAAAGGTAAAATGTCGACTGATAACAAACCTCGTTCTGGACATCTATTAACATCCTGAATGGGCGAAAATGTCAAGAAAATTTGCACACTTGTACTTGAAAACCAACGACAGACTGAAGAGACGGGGAAGTTATCTGGACTATCTTGGGACTAGGTTCAATGCATTTTAATGAAACATTTGGGAATGAGAAAGGTCGCTGCTAAATTTGTGCCTTGGGTTTTGATTGACCAAGAAAAAGAGCATCGACTAGAAACATGGCATGTTTTGAAAGAACAGCTCCAAAGCGACCCATACTTTTTTTGCCAAGGTCATTACTGGTGATGAGACATGGTGCTATTCTTATGACCCCAAAAGTAAACATCAGTTAAGTCAGCAGAAGACACCATCATCACCTCGCCCAAAAGAAGCTTGTCAAATGAAATCAAAGATCAAGACGATGCTTATTTGGTTTTTGTGATGTGAAGGGGATAGTGCATTTGGAGTTCGTTCCACCAGGTCAGACTGTGAATCCAGATTTCTATTTATAGCAGTGGTTCTCAACCTTCCTAATGCTGCAACCCTTTATGCTGTGGTGAGCCCCCCAACCATAAAATTATTTTCATTGCTACTTCATAACTGTAATTTTACTACTGGTATGAATTGGGCGACCCCCATGAAAGGGTCATTCAACCCCCAAAGGGGTCGCAACCCACAGGTTGAGAACCACTGATTTAGAAGTTCTGAAAAGATTGCATAACAACGTGTGGCAACTAAGGCCTGATTTGTGTCAGACAGGGAACTGGTTTTGCCACCATGACAATGCACCTGCTCACGCAGTCATCTCAGTGCGCCAGTTTCTGGCAAAAAACACAGCAACAGCAAGCCTCTCTTGCCCCATGCACCCGACTAACCTGCCTTTCCTCCATGAGGTTTCTTTTTGTTTCCGAGAATGAAAAGGGACATGAAAGGACAGTGATTTGATGATGCAGAAGAGGTGAAGAAAAAAATGAGGGAGGCGCTGAAGCCATACAAACAGATGCATTTGAAAGCTATTGCCAAGAATGGAATCGCAGATTTGAAAAATGTGTTAAGTGTAATGGAGAGTACTTTGAAGGTTCTTTTGTTTAAAAAAAAAAATTTAAATAAATACATAGCTCTGAAAAAGAAATTCCTTTTTTGGGGGTACCCACTCGTACATCCAACACCCGCTGGAACATGAGATGTTGAACACAAACCTCCTCCTTGGAGCAGAGTTGCTCTACTGGCTTTGAGAGCCTACCTCACAGACCCACCCGGTCCAGAGCAACAGCAGTGGAACTGTGGCGGGGGAGGGATATGAGCCCTGGGCCACTCAGCACCCACACTCACTCTTACCAGAAGACCTCGTTGCATCGATTGCACTGCACTCGGCGAGCTCTGGGCTCCTGTACCCGGATAACCATGGGGCAGTCTGCACCAGGGCACAGCTGGAGCTGGTAATGACTCTGTCAATACACCAGGGAAAACAATGAGGACAGCCCTTATTCACTGCCTCCAAATTAAACACCTACTGTTCTTCCAGGTAATGACAGATTCAGAATAGATACTGGAGCAACCCACTAGAGGGCTGATAAACTAAGGCTCATTACAAAATGGAATAAACAAGTGTGCCTGTGTGAGGGTAGTGAATATGGACTAAAGCTGGAAAGAAACACGGCCTAGTCAGGTATAGTTAGGGCAGCTCAGGGGTTCAAAGACCCTCAGGCATCTACCAAAGGCAGCAAATGGTACAAAGAATCAGGACGCCTGCTTGTCCCTTAGCCTGTGCACGAAAGGACCCATACCACTCATCAATCCAGGAAGTCAACGCATTAAAAAAATTTTTTTAAATTTTAAAAAACTACTCTGCATGGAATTGGCCAGTCTGCACAAGTAGCTCAAGAGAGACGGAGGACTTCAAAACTAACCAGGCTGGAATCAATCCCCAGCAAGTTTTCAAACTGCTCAAGAAGCAAGGCCTCTTCTCTACACCAGATCACACAGTGAACCAGGTGAGGAAATCACATCTGACTATCCTCTGACATACCCATTGTGTGTGCGGTGAGATTGCCTGTCCAATTCCAGGGGAGGCTCAGATGCCACACAGCAAGGCAACAGCAGGCCTGGGACTCATGGACCTGTACTCTCGACTACCACTCAAAAGACGGTCAAGTCTCTAAGACTATGGAGGTCTTTCTTTAAACGACCACATAATTGGCAGCTGGACATGAATGTATCAGTAACTGGGGAAGCCTCTGGTGAAAGACACAGGGCAGAGTAGGGGTTGGTCATACCTCCACATAGTCCCTGAAGAGGTAGCGTCTGTATTTGTCTTTCAATTCTTCGTTGGGCAGCAACGGAAACACGAAGTCCTCTGGTGTTCGGAGTGGGCAGTCCTGAGCCATACAAGAAACCCCTATAGAACAAAGACAACCTGATCAAGCACCGTGTGAGGAGACACAACACAGCTGCCCAATGGTCTCAATTCGTAAGGATCAACTAGCAAGGGAAACTCAGTCCATAGAAAGGACCTTTAAGCAACAGAATTTATTTAAAGATGAGAAAAATTAGCCACATTTGCAAGTGATGTAACAATATTATCTCAAATCACATATACATATACATACACCAATAGCACACCCACAATCATTTAAAAAGTTCTTTAAGATTCCTGAAGCTTAGTTTATGTGTAAGTGATAATCACCAACACATCAAGGGGATGGTATTTGGCTTCAATGGCATCACGTCAGAGTTTAACAAACGCTCCTGCAACTGTCATCAATTTGATTTGTGCTGTTACCTGAACAGTGGCAAACTCTGGATGTTTCTGAGCTAAGGCTGCCACCTGGGGGATCAACAGAGGGTAGGCAGCTTAAAAGATAGTTGTGCCCAAAGTGAAGCGAATGTTGTACTCACACCCACTCAGGTACCCACCAATATCCTTAACTTTCTCCCTTTGCTGAGGGGCTGGGAAATTTTTTGCCAGTGTTCAAAGTGGTGTGTTTGGGAACCACAATTAGAGCCAGAAGAAAACGCTCAGTTTACCTGAGGACCTGACAAGGCAGAGTCGAAGACAAACACTCCAGCCCCAGTCTTCTGCAAATGCTATAGCAGACTCACCCACGCCCACGCCGTCCTTGACAAGCACAGAACAGTGCTGCTCCCAGCAGCTGCGGCAAAACTGGTGCTGACAAGCCAGAGAGAGGAGGTTTTCCTTCCGCACAAACTGCATACACACTGCACAGTGGTGAGGGGGATGGGTGGCGGGGACCTGAGGAGAGGCACAGCCACATCAGCCAAAGAGGAACCTGCACAGTGGGGCCCCGAGCATGAGAGGCGATCTGTGCGGACTCGAAGTCCCAAGGGTGCTGAACAGAGAGTTATACCATGAAGGGTTCTTGAAAGAGGGGGCACCTAAGGCTGGGCTTGCAGAATCACAAGGGTTCAGAGAAAGGAGGAAGCAGAAAAGCGCAACTAAATGTACTTATACAAGGTTCAGAGCTCCAGAATGACCAGGTCTTTACAGGGAAGGCATGCGGCGCTTTGAGGAGAAAAGGGAGGGTGGTCTGCTTTTGTAAAGATAATGGCTTCTGTCCTGTCAGGTTGCTGTGTGCTGGCCTGGACTTGACAGCAGAGAGTTCTGTTTGGAAAGAGGCCATTCAGTTCCAGGTGTCTTGCCCCAGCTGCCCTCACTCGGCAGGGTACAAAGTGGCACCTCTGCCACTGATACAAACCATGTTACAGAGGCTGTGTGCATCTGGGAGGCTTCTCCAGCCTGCCTCACAGTGGGGATTTTCCTATCTGTATGCCCATTCACATCACTGCTTCTCTCGGTAAAGCTGAACCCGTGACGTGGTATCACGGGAATCCTTGGGAGAAAAGGACACTCTGGGGACCCCAGTCAAAACCCGCACTGACAGCAAAGTCCAGTTTTACAAAGGGACAGCGGATTCTTATTAGCGCACTGGAACGATAGAAAAAACGAATCTGAGGAAAAGGACTGAATTCTCCAGTATGCGCCCAGAAACTCCTCTCCCCCGAGTCTGAAGAAGCTATGTTGTGATCTCTGATCTCCACCCTCACTCCTCAGAGCACTTTTCACAGGATCCGCAATCGGTCCACAAATGCTCATCAGGCTCCTCATGCACAGAAACTGCTCTGCGTTGTAAATATGGCTCCTAAGCATCAGCACTGATAGTGGGACAGAAGTGTTAAACAGATGAGTAAAGAACTAGAACACATATGTAAAGATTTAATGATATAATCAGAAGAGCTTGCAGTTTGTAGGGAACAAGCTTTGTGAAGGAGTTGACCTTGGATTTGAGTATGTAAAGTTGAGTTCTACTCTCACAAATAAAGACAGGGATAAGGTCTCAACATTCCAGGTTAGGGAAGGCACAAGCAGGGTCAAGAGGGAGCACTGAGCACCAAGGCCCCCCGCATAAATGGAGGGCAGGCTACGTGCAAATGCAGAGAGAAAGGCGAGGCTGGAGAGAGTGGGACAGACACTCTCTGAGTGACGGAAGACATAGGCCTGTATCAAGAAAACGGAGAGCCAGGTACAGCAGGAGACGCCTCACTCAAGTAGGAGACACTTACATGTTTTGATGGATTGGGCTGAACGCGAGCCTCAACGAGCAGCTGGGCGGAATTGGACTTGTATCTAACAAAAAGTAGAAACAAAGGGAGTCAAAAACTGAATGCAAAATTTTTACTCCTGAACAAAACAGAATACCAACATCTGCTACGGTCCCACTAAAGGATCTTTGTCTCCAATTATCTCCTCAAAACACCAAGATTCCTTTTACCTTGGTATTTTTTTAGCTCTTAATTGGTATAAGAATAATAAATGACTGTGCTTCAAAGGAACTGAACTGTAAGATAAATACTTATGAAGGAAGAGATTGGTTTTAAATCCCTTCTTGGAAACAGAAGTACCTCCATGGCTTCAGAATGAAAAACCAAACCATAAACTGAAAGATAAGTCAATACACACTCAACTGACAAATGAGTAATATTAAGAATAAATAAGGAAGCACAGATGGTCATTAAATACACAAGGAAAGATGCTTAACCTCCTTCATAACCAGGAACACCAAGATGAAAAATAAACAGGCACACCAGATTGCAAAATTTAAAATCTGACCAGATTAGGGTTATTCACACACAAACTGATGGGAGTGTAAACTGGTACAATCTCTTTGAAAAGCAACTTGGCATTATCAAATAAAGCTGAAGTTGCACATAATCTATATAGTTCAGCGATTTACTTTTTATACTCAATCCTAGAAATACATATGCGTAAACCAAGAGTCTCATACAAGAGTTTCTAGAGCTGTGCTATTTTCATAGTAATAAACTGAAAACCCCCAAATGCCACATACGTGTCCCTTAGAGAGGAAAGGAAGGTTAGGCCACAGGAGTTGCCTAGGGGCTTTAGGGCTTCTCATTTGAGGGGAGACTTAGGAATTTATTATTCTTTAAACCACATATAAAACATACACATACACACACACACCACTCCCTTTTAAAACATGGTATTTTTAAATACAGATATATTATATCTTTCATAATAAATACTTAATTCCTTTCTACAGTGAGGTACAGTATAAATATCAAGGGGCTTCAAAGGGTAGAAAAATAGAAATACAAGATAATGGATTTTTCCAATAAACTTTCTGAAGTTCCCCTGTATGTTTTATAATAAACACAGAAATATCATGTGGCAATGAAGTACCATGTAAAGTCCACGTGACCAAGACAGTAGGAGTCGGTGTAGGGAAGAATTCTCTCCTGGAGGTGGCTTTCCTGACTCCACCTCATGACAATACCTCCTTTCATTTTTTGGGGGGTGGGGAGGTGGGGGGAACTTGTTTCATCCCTAACCATTCAAATCTTCTCTGTTCTCAAGGCTAGTGAATAGTGAGAGATACTCCAGTACAAGGGCCCTTGCCATTCTTGAGTTTTGGATAGCAACAATAGTTGCAAACAGTGAAGGGTCATCCAAGAGAGGCTAGCTACATGTGTTCATTTCTCAATTATAAAGTGAGAGTGTAGTTTGATATTCAGGAATTTCGGGCTCCATCCTGGGGTGCTGAGCTGCTCCAGCCGGTCTGCCAGCTCAGCTGTGCTTAGCCTGAAGAAAGGAAGGCCTGACTTTCCCGTACAAAGGGCGCATGCTCTACAGAGAGAAGAAGACTCACTGCAGTCTGAAAGGGCAAGGATGGTGAGGGGAGACCAGTGGTTTGCACAGGAATGATGCTGTTTTCAGGGGGGCATTTGGCAATGTCTAGAGACACTTTTGATTAGCAATGACTGGAGGGTGCCACTGCAGTGGCCAGGGACGCTGGTAAACATCCTATAACACATAGACCAGATCCCCACAACCTAGATGTGAACAATGCTGAGGCTGAAGAACCCGGGGCCAAAGAGAGTGGTGTTTCTGAGGGTAGAGGGCAAGGATCTCCCCCGAGGCTACAAGAGATGGAAAAGCCCCTTGTCCTAGCAAAGTCGTGCCTAAACATCCTGCTGGCTAGAGTGGTGGGCAGTATGCCAGCTCACTGTTTCTGCAGCACGCTACAAGATAGTTCTCACTTGACACATCCAAAACACACAACTGGAGATGTTGGCAAACGGTGAAGAAAAGGCACTGATTAAAATTAACACGGCATAAAAAATTACAACTGTCCATTGTCCAACCAATAGGGGTTGAGCCCTATAGGACCAGTGGTGTGAGTGGCAAAACAGGGAGGGTAAAGGGAGAATGGGTAGGAAAGAGGGAACTGATTGCATGGAACTGTGTGTGGCCTCCTCCCTGGGGGACAGACAACCGAGGAGTGGATGAAGGGAGACGTCAGACAGGGCAAGATATGACAAAATACCCATTTATAGACTATCGGGGTCTCATGCGGGAGGGGGGAGCGGGGAGAGAGGGGAAAAATGAGGACCTAATGTCGAGGGTTTAAATGGACGGAAAATGTTTTGAGAAACGATGTACAAATGCGCTTTACACAATTGATGTGTGTATGGATTGGGATAACAGTTGTATGAGCCCCTAATAAAATGTTAAAAAACAAAAACAAAAAAACCTTAGCAGAGAAGTGTGGTAAAAGAGTAGGCTGAAGACACAATCACAACATACGGAGGAAAAAAGTATGTATAACACGAGTCAGTGTTTTAGCAACACACTATGCACATTGTAAAGATATGCTTTAAAATGTAAGGAACTATCACACCAATGGATAAGCATCGAGAGAAGCTATGGGCAATACCATCTCCCCTTCCCCGAAACAGCTTACCTGTCCAATATCTCTGAGACTTGCCAGTGGAAATTAACTAATATGAGTTTAGCAACTGAATGAGATACCTAGAAAGAAGAAAAAAATCAATTAAAATTGGCTTCTTTTGGAGTTCTTAAAATTTTGAAATAAAGTACACATTTGTGACTGTAGCAGGCCTAGGGTGGGTTTCCAAAAGATTCTTCTTGGTTCTCTACTATCTTTTAAGTTTAGACTCAACATTTTAGTATATTCATAGATCTATTTTCTACTGTTGTCTTCATCAATGGTGTTTCAAAGAATACACTTGAAAAACGTACAACTACCAGTCTCTCTGGTGTCTAACTTAAACAGAGCTGCAGGTTCCCCAATGGGCTGTTTCCTCGGCTGCTGCACGTGCCCAGTGCACCTTTAGTTAGGCTTATTACCTGCAGACAATCTCCAGGCCTGGACTTCTTACAAAACCCCCACTAACAAAATAATCGTGTTTAAAATTCCAAGTTCTCAGCAACTGGTAAATTCTAATCGCAAGGTTTAAAAGTTTGTGTACAGCCTTTCTGGCCCCTAATTTCTAGGGGACATTTAAAGTACATTGGTCATGAGTATCAAGGAGCCCCAGAAAGTGCTTTGAGCTAGCAATTCTACACTGTCAATTTTCTGAAGAAATGATAGTACAACAAAACGACAAATAGCCTTAATGTCCAATAAAAGAGAACCAGATCAGTACCACCTGACAGACCCATCAACAGACTACTAGGATGCAATGAATTCTTTGATAATGGCTTTGTGACTCCCACCAAACAACTTTTTCATCCTGGGTCAGAGTTAAGTGAAAGTAGGGGAAGATACTAATTGGATTATATAACTCTGTTGTGAGTGATTGTTAAGACGGTTAATTGTGATTGTAAAAATGTGAAGTTCAAAAAAAAAAAAGTGGAGCTCTGATGTGGTGATTGGTCAACTTTACTATCTTGCTGGGTATAAAATAAACCATCTCAGAAGTGTAGTCTGAGTGAGGGTTATCTCACTCTCCCCAGAAAGGTAGAGTCAGGAGTGGAGTGCATCCTTTGGACCCTGAGATCCATGCACACTCAGGTGGGAGGAGTGGGAGGAGTGCAGTGACAGGGGCAGCAGCGGAGCTCGAGTGAGAGACAGAGCTGTGGGCTCTCCCACTACAGAGCAAGTAAAGTGCTGCACGAAATCAGAGAAGCCAGCTAGAGCTGAGAACCTTCAATGGAGTTAGTTTGATGATGGGAGTGGGGAGCCACTCGAGTTTTCTAACAGTGCCCAATCAGAACAGAAACCAAGTCAAGCCATGTTGCTGAAGGCCAGAGAAGGCCTACCTGTAGGACCAGTAGGGAAGAGGCTGTCCTGACCAAAGAATGGTATATACATTTCTGATTCTAAACTATAACCTGTTAGCTTCTCTCAAAAACTATAATCTTAAGTATTGTCTGTGAGCTCTTTGTGGCCACTACAATGAGTTTTTAATCCAGCAGAGAAGAGTGTGATGGGAGATAATTGGTGTCAGAACAGGGGAAGGTAAAACAAAACAAAACGGAATAGGGCAAAGTAAGCTGGAGGATGGAAGCCTGTGTGCCTTTTGCATCACAGGAATCAGAATCAGCCCTGTGCTGACTTTTGATGATTCTTCTGCCCCCTGTGAAATCAGGTGCCTATTCCATTTCATTTTCACAACTACTATGCAGTCACTTTTTGAAAAGAATGCTGAAGTCAGCTTAATGACACAGAAAGAAGTCCACACTTTATTGTTCCCAAGTGACAAGCCCAGGCAGAGCTACAGAAGATTAAGATGTGTTTGGCGTTCTTGATCAGGCTTCCTAGACAGAATGCTGTGCAGGCTATTACTAAATCAAGGGCAGGTAAGGAAAATGCTTCCAGCTGGGGAGCCAAGGGAACAAACCAACAGAACCTGCTTACTGGGCCTAGTCTTTCAACAGGAGCTACACTAAGACCTGTAAGGTAGTGGCCCTCGGATATGCAGGCAAGAACTGCAGGGAGGGTGAGGGACACACACACAGGGACCAACATGTGTTTCTGCTCTTCTTCCAAGTCTAAAGTCATCCCCAAAGAGACATGCACACACCCCTACTAAAGAAGAGTTTATCCTTGTGTGCACAATCAAGTGTCAGAGACTGCAATCATGAGTGTCTCCCTGTCTTATACCCCAGGTGCACCTAAAGAAGAGCAAGGACCCACGGAGCTTTGGGGAGGCTTTCTACTTTCCTCCCACGCAGGACAGGAGGTATCTGACCCATGCACAATGCCTAGAGTTTGCTCGCTGAGGCCTATGGAGGCTTTAAGCCTAAGGTTCCTGACCAAGAAAACCAAGCCCACTGCCACTGAATGGATTCTGACTCTCAGAGACCCTAATAGGGTCCTATAAATCTTTATGGGAGCAGTTAGCATCATCTCTTTTGTAGTACAACCAGTATTTCTTCTCACCGTGACCATAACAAAACGAGCAATCTACAACAGACCAGTGCTACACAAAGAAAGCAGGCATGATACGGTTGGCCCTTGACCACACAAGTCCAAACTGCCAGGTCAACCTTAGAAACAGATTTTTTTTTTAATGCCAATTTTCTCAGCAGTTTGTTTCTACAGTAAGTTTCCTATCGCTGAAAAAGTGTCCCCTCAAAGTTCATGTATTTTTCATTTCATTGTGTTTAGTGCAACACCATAAACCTTGAACCACAGGGTGAGACCAGCATGAAGTGCCATGAGTGTCACTGGAGTGCTCCAAAGCAGCAGAGAAAAATCCCGATGTTACAAGAAAAAGGTGCACTGCTGGATAAGTACAGTAGATCGAGGTTTGCCGAAAAAATTACCTGCAATTTCAAGATAAGTGAATCCAGTATAAGATTTTTTTGTAAAGGAAGTTTGTGAAGCCATCAATGCAGCTATAGCAGAGGAGCAAAAACTTTGCACCTTTGGTGAAATATCTTTTAGATTTGTATTGAAAAAATGCAGAGTTTCGTGGGTTCACTAAACAAAACAAAATATGTGTCGACTGACTTATCAGTAAGGCTTCTAGTATACCATTAGTAGTTTTACGTTTTTGTCTTGTTTTTTTTTTGGGGGGTGTGTGTGTAAAAAATTATATGTGGATTTTCAATTACACAGAGGGTTGAGGGGCTTCTATATAATTTGTTGCTCAAGGGTCAACACTTTAAATTTTAGAAACTGCTTGAATATATAGCCCTTGGCTATAAATACATTTTTTAAAGTGTGCTAGGTTTTCCTTAAAAAGATCAGCAAAGTTGATAAAAGTTTAAAAAACATCAAATACAAACTCCTGATAATAGAGACTGAATAAGGAATTGTCACTACAAATCTTAGACATTAAAAGGGAAATAAAATATAAACAATCTAATTCTAATTAGACATCTTTGATGAAATCGTTTCTTAAAAAATACTTCTAACATAAAACGAACCAGAAAAACTGAATAGCTCTTGATGGAAAAAAACAACCCCCAAATAAACAAACCCACCGTACATGAATCAACGTCAACTCAAAACATATGACAGGGAAGAACCGTCTGTCCTTCTGTCCTGTGAGTTTCTGAGACTGTAACTCTTTACAGGAGAAGCAAGCCCATCCCCACCCCACCCCCAGCCACTGGTGGTTTTGAACTATTAACCTTAGGGTTAGCGGCCCACCACATAACTACTACACAACCAGCAATCCATTCTATACCAATAGGAGACATTAAATTTATGATCAAAAATCTTCCTGAATCATTTCTACTTTGCCTCTTTGGCACTTTCGTTGTTGTCCTTGATGTCTAGTAAAACAGAGATTACAAGTAAGGGACAAGACAAATGAAAAGCAGCTAGGACCTTTAATGTTGTTCTTTACAGAACTGATGTCCCTGCCGATAGATCTGATCTCTTGGATCTGGAAGAATTGGTCTGAGGACTTCAAATCTTAAAACAAAAGATAAAGATTCTAGTCTATATACAAGTAATGCATAATGAAGATATTCATAAATTATCACAGAAGTATCAACTAAAGTATGCTGTAGCAGCAGTTCTTCATAATATAAAGTTTAGGGGACTTCTGGGAAGATGACACCAAGAGAAATTCATCTGCACTGTGTCAGGATCTCTGTTAGACTGGCGACTATCTATACCCCCCCCTCCCCCAGCCCCGGTGTTTATGTATAGAAGATAGGCAGGAGACAATGACTGGACTGAAGGTTCCTGGGAGACATGGGAGGGGATGAAGTGGGGGGTGGGGGGAGATGAGTGATGAGCCAATAACAACAGGTACAGGGTTCTAAAATTATCGATGGCAAGGCGTGTATAGCTTTTCTGGGTGTGTTTGGTCAATTGGATTGTATCTGAGAGGAATTACAGAGGTGAACGATGTGTAAACCTGATAGTGAGGCAGAAGGAGGAAAAAAATAGAAAGAAAAAGAAGAAAAAATGTGTATGTAAATACATAAATATGAAAAACGAAATTGAGCTGGGTGGAGTGGAGCTTTTGTAGTACTCATTTTTCCTGCTAGGCAAGCAGCTAGCAACTAGCTCTGAGTTAGTGCACCCAGCTGCATCACCTGGGAAGGTTCTTTCTGGTTCCAGGGAATTTTTCCATAAAAGCAGTTTCGCTTGAACATCATTTTTTGTGATGGCCGATTTAAGAGAACAGTGTGCAGATGTAAAATTTTGTTTCCTGCTTGGGAAAAATGCTGTAGAAACTGTTGTGATGTTGAACACAGCTTACAAGGACAGCACTATGGGGAAAACTAAAGTGTTTGAGTGGTTTTCTCATTTCAAAAAAGGTGAAATGTCGATTGATAACAAATCTCATTCTGGATGTCCATCAGTTTCCCGAATGGATGAAAACATTGACTTGTAGAATCAAGCTTTCTATTTAGAGATTCTGAAGAGATTGCATAATAGTGTATGACAAAAATGGTCTGATTTGTGGCAGATGAGGGAGGGGGAGGGGGGTTGGTTTTGCTACCATGACAATGCACCTGCTCTCACAGCCATCTCAGTGTGCCGGTTTTAGGCAAAAAAACAAACAAACCCCAAACAACAACAACAAAACCAGCATGCC